GGGCCCGGGCAGGGCGCTCTGATGGTGGGAGAGCAGGCACAGCCACGCTGCCCGCTGTGGGGGGGCCCCCGGAACTGAGGGTGAGGCTACAGGGCGCCAGGCCCTGTCCAGCCTGGGGAGGCTATCTGGCCTTTCTGGGCCTCAGTTTCCTCATCTGTTAAATGGGACGATAGCAGTGCTCACTTGCTGAGGGCTTAACTGAGGTTAAGATTTTGTGTGTAGCCCTAATCAGTTTGGCTCAGTGGATAGAGTGTCAGCCTGCAGACTGAGGGGCCCTGGGTTCGATTCCAATCAGGGGCACATGCCTGGGTGGCGGGCTCAATCCCCAGCGGGGTGTGTGCAGGAGGCAGCCCATCGGTGATTCTCTCTCATCATTGATATTTCTATCTCTCTCCCTCTCCCTTGCTCTCTGAAATCAATAAAAATACATTGAAAATAAAAATCAATGGGAAAATATCCTCGGGTGAGGATTATAAAAGATAAAAATACAGATTCTGTGAGTAAAAGCGCCCGGAGGGGTCCACGGCTGCAGCACTGAGAACGACACGTCAGCTCCCTGGCCAGTCCTCTCACCCCTTGGGGGGCTGCGGGGCGGCAGGAGGCCTCGGGAAGGCTCGCAGCAGCCGGGGTTCAGGAACTCGGCGTCTGAGCCCCTCCCAGTGCCCCTACAGCACCGGAGCCCCTGGCCTCTCCTCCAGCTACAGCCCCCGGCCCTCATCTCCCCACGCCCTCGCCGAGCCCGCCCTGTGCCCCTGGCCCTTGGAGCCGCAGTGGCAGGAGCCTGTCACCCTCCGGGCAGAAGGCCACTGCACCATCCCTCTCCCTCTCCCAGGGCCTGCGCCACTGCCCAGCAGTGAGGCCTCTGCAGCCGCTGCCTGGCTGGAGGCCAAGGCTCTGGAAGCTCCAGGAAAGCACAGAAAGTTCCGGTTGCAGCCCCGCCCCAGGGCCCGATCACGGGAACAACGCGGCTCCGGCAGCCGGCTTCCCAGGGCCAGTCTCCCCACCGCCATCTTGGACCTGGACACCCACCCAGCCAGGGGCCCCTGAACTGTTAGAGCCGCGCAAGTCAGGTTCAAGTCCTTGCCCAGACTCTTCGCAGCTGTGTGGCCTCGGGCAAGTTGCTCAACCTCTCTGGCTCTGTGCACGCACCTGAAAAGTAGGAGTGATTATTGCACTACCTTTGACCAAGGGTCACAGAGTTGCCAAGTGAGTAAGTGCCTGGAAAGGAGCCTGGCTTGGGGGGAGGAACGGGGCTGAGAAACGGAAGGGGCTGGGTAGAGAGGCCTATGGGTCCCCACAGCCAGTTCCCCAAGGGCTGGCAGCAAGCCAGCAGGGCAGCAAACAGCCCTCGGGAGCCCAGCCTGGGTTTGAAGGTGAGATGCAGGTCTGAGGAAGCTTCGAGGGAAGCCAGTGTGAAGAGAGTCATTCGCTCGCTCGCTCGCTCATTTATTTGTTCATTCAGTATATTTATTAAGCACCTATTACGTGCTGGTCACTGGGGAGATTTTCTCCCTGGTGGGGCCTTTGTTCAGAGGTGAGAGGCAGACTTTAAACTGTGCAGAGTGCCATCTGAAGTTCTTCAAAGCTGGCACAGGGCAAAGGGCATGCCAGGTGGTGGGGCCAGGGAGGAAGGCCTCACTGACGACCTATGACGGGGAGCAAGACCTCAAATGCTCTGGAGGTAAGAGTTTGCAGCTGCTTTGATTTTTTTATTATACCGTATATATTTATTATTGATTTCAGAGAGGAAGGGAGAGGGAGAGAGAGATAGAAACATCAATGATGAGAGAGAATCATTGACTGGCTGCCTCCTTGCACGCCTCCTACTGGAGATCGAGCCAGCAACCCAGGCATGTGCCCTGACTGGAATCGAACCCAGGACACTTCAGTCCACAGGCCAACGCTCTATCCACTGAGCCACACTGGCCAGGTCTGCAGCTGTGTTTGTGCATTTGAAGTTAAGGAGGGAAGGTGAGGAGTGACATGGAGGTGGGAGAGAGCAAGGCGGGGGCTGGGTGCCAGGACAGTGAACAGGAGGTGCTCTCCTGAGGGTGGTCATGCTGATGTCAAAGGTATGTTAACCCAGATGCACAGGAACAATGGACGGGGTGCTTAAGGCAAAGATGAGCCTTTTAGTAAAGAAGTCATAGACCTGGGCGTGCCCACCCCCAGGACTGCCCAGGGAGGATGTGTGAGCAGAGCCTCCTGTGAGGGTCCTCTCCATGAACCCCCCCCTTTTTTTTGTCCACATGAGCAAGGTGGAAAGGGACTGAGGTGAGAGAGGGGCCGGAGGCGGCAGGTGTGTCGGTCCTGTAGGCTGTGGAGGGAACTTGACTTTTGCTGGTGAGATGGAGAACCAGTGAGTTTTCAGAGGGGCATGAACTGACCTGAGTGACTATACCAGGCTCACGCTGGGTGCTCGGTGGAGAATGAACTCGGGGGTGGGGTGGGGGTGGAGTAGATACGTAGGCAGCACAGCAGAAGCAGGGGATCAGCGGGGAGGCCCCTGTGGTGACCCAGGTCAGGGAGGACGCCACCTTGGTCTGGGTGGGAGCAGTGGAGGTGCGAGGCCTGGTACGATCCGCGAGAGGTTGTGAGAGGTGGAGCTGGAGGAATTTCCTGGGAGACTGGATATGGGGTGCGAGGCAAAGAGGACCCAAGGACAACCCCCAGGTCTGGGCCTGAGGGACTGGGGCCGCAGGAGTGCCCTCCGCTGATGTGGGGAGACTGTGGGAGAGTATCCGTCTCCAACCGCTGCTGTAACAAGTGCCTGCGAATGCGGTGGTTTTAAACATCCACTTTATTCCCGTGCAGTTCTGGAGGCCCGGCGTGTGAAATCAGTCTCACTGGCCGGAAGCCAGGAGTCAGCAGGGCCGGTCCCTCCTGGAGAACCTGCGTCCTTGTCTCTTCTACCTTCCGGAAACCACCCGCCTTCTTCCCTTCAGGGCCCGTCCTGGCAGCAGCCCAACCGCTGGCCTCTGTCGCATCCCTCCCGCCTCTGACCCGCCAGCCTCCCTTTTATAAGGACGGGTGACTGTCTACAGGACCCACCTGGGTGACCCAGGATTCCCTCCCCATCTCAAGACCCTTCACCTACTCACACCTGCACTCTCTTTTTCCATGTCAGGCCACACCCACAGGTTCTGTGGATTAGGACGTGGTTGTCTTTTGAAGGCTGTTACTCAGGGGTTTGGTTTGGGACATACTGCGCCAAGATGCCCACGAGGTATGCAGGGAGGAATGCCGAGAGGGCGGTTTGATGAAGGAATGTGGATGCCAGGGAGAAGCCCAGGCTCGTGAGTGTGTGAACACCATTGGAAGCTGTGGAACTGGAGAAGACGGGCAGAGACACAAGGAGAGAAAAGAAAATGAAGAGATTAAGCCAGGAGGCCCGGCCTCTGAATGTCAGGAGCTCCACAAAGAAAAACAACACAAAACACAGAAAACAGAAGAAATGAAGTCATCAAAGAAAATGTTAAGGAAAACTCGAAGAACCAAAGGCTGTGGACACCTTGATCACAAGAAAGCCCACCAAGTTGCCAGCACAATTAATAAAGATCCACGCCAGGCGCTTCATCATGAAAGTTTGAGTCAACAGGGATAAAGAACAGACCCAAGGATCCACACCGAACAAAAGCAGAGCATCTTCAGAGGCTGCGGCCGCAGGACGGCTCCACAGCCCCTGGATGCAAGGGGACAATGGCACGAACGCCTTTAAAATTCCCCTGTGATGCTCTCCAACCCAGAGTTCTCTACCCAGCCACACTACCAGTCAACTGTGGGCACAGAACAAAGACACTCTCAGAATGCAGGATCTTAACAAAATGACTTCCCAGTGCCCTCAAGGAGCTACTGGAAGATGCTGTTTGCCACGAACGAGAGGCAAACTCAGGAAAGCAGAGAATAGGATCCAGGAAACAGCTATTCCGGGCGAGAGATGGGGCAAGCAGACTTCCCAGGACAACAGCGAAGGGAAGTCCCCGGGCAACAGTCGTGCAGCAGAGTAGAGAGCAACCCATCCAGACGGAGGCATAGTAACTCCTAGAAGAACGAAAAATTATAGAGGAAAGAAAATGTAATCTTAGTAGATATTTCTGCGGTCGTTAAATATACCTGTTCCTTCAAATCTGGCCTTCCGTAAACCCATTCACTACCATTAACGGGGCTTACTCAGAAAAGAGGGGCAGACACCGACTACTCAAAGCCTATGGGACATTTTCAAGAACTTGGGTTTATCGAGGTATAATTTGTATACAGTGACATTTTTCCTTCTGACGTGTACGGTTTGATGAGTTTTGAAAAATGTAAATAGTTCTGCAACCACCACCACTATCGGGATATAGAACATGTCCATTACCCAACACAGCTCCCTCCGTCTCTGTCACAGCCAGTCCCCCACCTCTTCCGGCCGCGAATGATCTCATGTCTGCCCTGTGCCTACGCTGTCCCTATAACAGCCCACAATGTCGTAGGAACGGAATAATAAAGTATGTCTTCTTTTGCGTCCAACTCCCTTCACTGAACACAATGCTGTTTTTAGGTGTCCATTTTGCTGCGTATCGCTCAGTTTGTGTCCTTTCGTTGCTGAAGTCAATTTCATTGTATAGAGATACCACAGTCACCATTTTTTAAAATAAGTTTTTATTGATTTCAGAGAGGAAGGGAGAGAGAAAAACATCAATGATGAGAGAGAATCATTGATTGGCTGCCTCCTGCACATCCCCTGACTGGGGCATGTGCCCTGACCAGGAATCGAACTGGAGACCTCCTGGTTCATAGGTCGACACTCAACCACGGAGCCACAGTGGCTGGGCCACATTCCCTATTTGAATGGAGGCTGGGCTATTTACAGGTTGCAGTTATTATGACTAAAACTGCTATGACCACTCACATGCAGGTCTTTTTGTGAACTTATACTTTCATTTCTCAAGGGCAAGTGACTGGAAGGAGGACTGCTTTTCATTGTACAGGTACACACACACACACACACACACACACACACACACGTGAAAATCGAAAGTGAAAGATGCTGGCCCTGGGGCCTGTGACTCAGAGATGGGCCTGGGCCTGCGGTTTTCCTCAGAGGCCCTGGCATGCTATTTGTCGGGATAAAAATCAAGTCTGTGGATTCCTTGGATAAAAATAAGAATTCATTTAAACAGGAAGAAAGGTGGCTACTTATACAGAACTGTTTGCAGGTGTGGATTTCGGATTGGAATTTGAATCAGGCCTTTCTGATGCCAATCACTGCGGTGCATGCAGAGAACCTCAGAAGCCGGTTGCAAGGTGACAAGAAGCCAGGCTGCACTGCCACCCACAGCAGCAGGGTGTGCGTGTGCGCGTGTGCGCGCGCCTGTTTGTGTGTGTGCATGTGTGTAAGCATGTGTGTGTATGTGTGCGTGTGAGAGAGTGTGTGTGCGTGTGTATGAGAATTTTCCCCTCTCGCCCAGCCAGACCCATCTTTCTTTTTTTATATAACTCTTTATTGTTGAAAGTATTACAGATGTCCCCTTTTTCCCCCCACTGACCCCCTCCAGCCTGCCACGCCCCCTGCCCCAGGCCTTCAGCACCCTATTGTCTGTGTCCATGGGTTTTGCATATATGCATACAAGCGACCCATTTTTCAAGACCAACATTCTCCAGCCGTGGCCGGTAGCTCAGTTGGTTAGAGCATCATCCTGATACATCAAGGCTGTGGGTTTGATCCCTGGTCAGGGTACATACAAGAATCCACCAGCCCTGGCTTGTTTGGCTCAATGGATAGAGCGCTGGCCTGTGGACTGGGGGGTCCCGGGTTCGATTCCGGCCAGGGGCACGTGCCTGGGTTGTGGGCTTTTGTGCACCCCCTAGTATATATATAAAAAAGAATCCACCAATGCATGCATGCACAAGTGGACAACCATCCATGTTTCCTTCTCTCTCTCTCCCGTCCTCTCTCTCTTAAACCAATAAAAATTTTAAAACATTAAAAAAAAACACACAAAAAAAACCCCGCAGACCAATGTTCTCAGCAGGCTCGGATGGCCTTGACGTGTTCTTCACGCCTCAGTCAGCTGAGCCACCTCCCTGCTCGGCAAGGCAGGCTTAGGGGCCCATGATTCCCGGTGTCCTCATACATTGGGAGGAGTTTGCTAAATTTGTCCAGAAATGTCTCCGGCACCCCAGTACCAACTAGCAAACACTATCTCCAAGTACCGAGAGGGCCAGCCCTGCAGCCAGCTGCCTTCTTCGCTTTTGGCAGAAAGGACGGATCGCCCTGTTCCAGCCTGTGCTCGTGTCTGCGCGTCTGTGCGGAGGAGGCTGAGGCGCAGGAGCCAGCGAGGGAAGACGCTGCTGTTCAGCTGGCGTGGGAGTTTCAAGGTCAGACTGGCAGGCACGCCTGGGCACCCAGGGCTGTAGGTCGTCAGATGAGCACAGCGGCTCCAGAGAGCCGGGACCGTCCGGCCCGGCAGCCGCGCCTCACCCAGTGCAGGGTCACACCCAATGGCTGTGTGGCATTCACCGTGTGCCATGCCCATCGTTTGATACAATCCAGACAAACATCCTTGAGGCAGGCGCTGTAAACATCCCCATTATACAATGAGCAAATGGAGGCACAGAAAGGTTGCACAACTGACCCCAAAGGACCAGGCAGAGCCCAGGGGCGGGTGGTCTGGCTCTGCCCGAGGTCCTAGGTCAGTGATGGCGAACCTCTGACATGCGTGTCAGAGGTGACACGCGAACTCATTTTTTGGTTGATTTTTCTTTGTTAAATGGCATTTAAATATATAAAATAAATATCAAAAATATAAGTCTTTGTTTTACTATGGTTGCAAAGATCAAAAAATTTCTCTATGTGACACGGCCCCAGAGTTAAGTTAGGGTTTTTCAAAATGCTGACACGCCGAGCTCCAAGGGTTCGCCGTCAGGGCCTATGTGAAAGCACATTTTGTTAACTTGTTATAAAATAGCCGGTGGTTAGTTGTTGCAACATGGAGGCTAAATTCCTAAGAGGAAGCAAGGTGCCCACCGAACGCAGGATTTACTAGCAGAATCAGGAGATCCGGGTTTGAATGTCGGCTCTCCGCCTGGGGAGCCCTCTCCGCGGCCTGCATCTACACGCATCCGCATCCGCATCCGGCCGCCAGACTCAGTGGGGTTTGCACAGTGAGCCCCACGTGGGAGGTCAGGAAACAGATCTGGCTTCTCCCTGTGGGGTGGCCTCGGCCAGGCCCCCTCGGAGTGACCCTCCTGCTATTTGCGGTGACCTCCCTGTCACCGCCCTCCAGCCCCCGGGGGGAGGTAGCTGTCCCACCTGTGCTGGTGCGGGAGCCCTGGCTCTCTCTGGGGTTCCCCCACCCCCACTGTAAGCAGTCCTGCTTGCAAACAGCCCTCCTGGAATTTCCCCAGTCGGCGGAAGCCATCTGTTTTCCCACGGGCCCCTGGGTGATGTGACAGCATCGGCGGGAACTGGAAGCACCTGAGGTCAGGGCCGCGCAGGACCCTGCGCAGCGGCTTGGCTGGGGGAGGGGGGGGGGTGCAGCCCGCGGGAAACCCAGAGAGCGGAGCATGGGAGGGGGCGGTGGGCGTGGGAAGAACAAAAGACCCGCAGCTAAATCGCGCTACGCACGACCTCCAACGACGGGGGTCGCGGTGAAGGTCAGGGATGAATGCACAGTGAGCGTCCGGACCCTGCACGGGCCTGCCTTCTTCCCCTAGTGCTTTTTCTTTCTGAAAAATGTCAGACAAGCTCAGAAACATGTGTATGTACTAATTTGACTACTTTTAGTCTCTTCATCTTTACCTCACAGGAAAATAGATGACTGAAAAAATAGTGTGGAAAGAGACTGGCCCCCAAATAGTATTTAATTGCAGCTCTATTATTTGCAGTTTACAGTGTTGGTTTGCTCTTTTCTTAGTATGCTATTAAATACAGACTATACTAAATTGGATTCATAGAATACTTTAAGGCCAATTTTTTCTAAATAAAAACCATTCAAGATGAAATTTATATTAAAAACTAAGATGTATAAAATAAGAAATGCCTTTCAATATTTTTTTTAAAGAGAGATGAAATAGAAAGCTCAACCTAAAATAAACCTATGACAGTATTAAATCAAGATTTGCTTTTCAGTAAACCAGCCACATTGATAATTAAAATACTGTCTCCTGGAAGCAACAGGGGCTGTCAGCAAGGAGACCAGGGAAACAAAGCTTCCGCCACAGGGACTGGGGTTTAGGAACAGCTTCAGCCACCGTGGGTGCCAGTGCCCAGCGGAGAGCTGAGACACCCGGCTGCGCTGGCTGCTTGACTACATATCAGAGGCAGTGCAGTAGACCAGCCTGTTGTAGAGATGGTAGAAGTGGGGAAAAATGTTAAATGGTGGCCCCAAAATAAATGTTATTAAAGTATTTAACTTTTAATTATACAAATAGCACAATCATACATTCTCCTTATTTAAAAAAAATAAACATAACCAATAAAGCCAAAATTTACTCCAACCCTCTGGATCAGTGGTTCTCAACCTTCCTAATGCCTCGACCCTTTAATACAGTTCCTCATTTTGTGGTGACCCCCAACCATAAAATTATTTTCGTTGCTACTTCATAACTGTAATTTTGCTACTGTTATGAATCGTAATGTAAATATCTGATATGCAGGATGTATTTTCATTGTTACAAATTAAACATAATTAAAGCATAGTGATTAATCACAAAAACAATATGTAATTATATATGTGTTTCCGATGGTCTTAGGCGACCCCTGTGAAAGAGTCGTTCGATCCCCAAAGGGTTGAGAACCGCTGCACTAGGGCCTGGCCAGGTCTGATTGCCCTTTAGGATCATCACTCCGCCTGTAGGGGGCTAAATTGATGAGGCAGGTGACTCTGGTTGGGAGTGGCCCCGGCCAGGTAGGTCAGCTGGTTAGAGCGTCCTCTGGACACGTCAAAATTGCGGGTTCAATCCTGGGTCAGGGCACATATAAAAATCAACCAATGAATTCATCAATAAGCGGAACAACATATCGATGTTTCTCTCTTTCTCTCCCTCCCCCCCCTTCCCTCTCTAAAGTCAATCAATCAATAAAAATACAAATAAAAAAGCAGCTGGGCCCAGCCAGTGTGGCTCAGTGGTTGAGTGTTGACCTATGAACCAGGAGGTCACGGTTCAATTCCCAGTCAGGACACATGCCCAGGGTGCGGGCTGGATCCCCAGTTTGGGGTGTGCAGGAGGCAGCCAATCTATGATTCTCTCTCATCATTGATGTTTCTCTCTCCCTCTCCCTTCCTCTCTGAAATCAATACAAATATATATTTAAAAATAAAATTAAATAAAAAGTAAATAAAAAGCAGTTGGGGGGTGGGGTGGGCAGAGGCCCTGGGCATGCCCGATGTCTGGCCAGAGTGCTGGGTTGATGGCAGGATGGGGCACCAGCCCAGACTGGACAGAGGAAGGGGGTCCTGAAACGTGCCCCCGCCCAGGCAGGGTGTCAACACTGGACCTATGGGCCCAGCTCCCTGGGCATGCAGGGGGCC